CCTCTCCCACTCCCCCTGCTTGTGTTCCCTCTCTCGCTGTGCCTCTCTCTGTCAAATAAATAAATAAAATCTTTAAAAAAAAAAAAAACCCAATCCAAGTGTAACTTTTGACTCCCCAGAAACTTAACAGCCTTCTATTGACCGGAAGCCTTACCGATAACATAAACAGTCAACTAGAACATATTTTGTATGCTATAGGTATAGGTATTAGGTAGGTATAGGTAGGCTATATTCTTACAATAAAGCTAGAGAAAAAAAATTAGGAATTCGTAAGAAAAACACATTTACAGTACTGCACATATTAGAAAATGTCCATATGTTAAGTGGGCCAATGCAGTTCAAACCCAGGTTGTTCAAGGGTCAACTGTGAGGTCACTTCTAGCTTTAAAAGGGGGGGACCAGTCAGTTAAGTATCCAACTCTTGATTTTGGCTCAGATCATGATCCTGGGGGTCGCAGGATCTAGCCCCACATCAAGCTCCGTGCTGAGCATGGAGCCTACTTAAGATTCTCCCTCTCCCCTCCACTCTCTGTTTCTCTCAAATAAGTAAATAATTAATTAAAAATAAAAAAACACTGTCTCTTAACATAGCTGGTTCTTATCATGATCATTATCCCCACTCCCAGTTTCTGATTCAAGTAGGTGGTGGGTCCTGAGAATTTGCATTTCTAACAAGTTCTCAGGCAATGCTGCTGCAGCTGGTCTCAGGAGGATACTTTTGAGAATTACTTTTCTACAGCACTAGACTAAGAGTCTGGAAACTTGTGTCCTGAGGGTCCCATTCTGCCTCTAATTGGCTATATACACCTCTATGACAGATCATCTCGATTTCTTTCGGTCTCAGTTTTCTTCTGTAAAATGGAAGGGTAAGTACTACACCATATGAGCTGTAAGGGCTTCGAATAATCTCAGATGGAGTCCAACAATTTGCATTTCTAGTAAATTCCCAGGTGGCGCTGCTGGTTCAAAAGCCACACTTTAAGAATCAAGGTATTAAAGCTAATCACATGCCTATTCTATGCAATTTCATTCCTAGGTATGTACACCCCCCAAAAAAGGAGTTCGTGTGTTCACCAAAATACCCACACAAAAAAATTCACAGTGGCTTTATTCATACTAGCTAATAACTGGAGACAAGCCAAAGTCCATTGTTAGAACTGTGCTCTATTTTTATACAATGAAATACTACACATCAATGAAAAAATACCACTTCACACAACATGGACATATCTCACATGAGAGTACCAAACTCAACTGGGTAACTAGTGCATTATTCTGTTTATAGGAAATACAAGAACAAGCAAAACTGATGCTGACAGAGATACGAATGGGAGTTACCCGGAGGGTAAGCGGAATTATTGGCTGAGCAGCAGCATGAGGGAATTGTGAGGATGAAAGTGTTCTCTATCTTGATCTGGGGGCTATACATATATAAAACTACAACTTCAGTAGTTGCAGACTTAAGATTTATAATATAGCATACATCAAAGGGATGGAAAGGGACAACAAAATTCATTACAATAATTTCCTTTAAAAGCAACTCATATAAACTGGATTTCCAAAAGTGGCACTGGGGCTAAGAGGACCATAACAAATGTAGATTCTGAAATTAATAGCTGTCTAGATGACATAATGAATTGTGAAGAAAGATGCTCAGTGCCTCCTGTAATACTATTCTAATACTGATCCCAGAAGCCTCATTAGGAAACATCATAGCACAAATGACCAACCAACCGTTTTATTTGAGGGCCTTCATATCTAGATCCAAAAAAACATACTCCAACTTAAAAAGCCCTATAGGACCTAGCCCCTGGTTTCCTTCCCACCTCCTCATCACTTATTCCTCCATCATCCCACTCTAGTTAAATAGGCCTTTTTGCTGCTCCCTGTACAAGCCAACCTCATTCCTACCTCAGGATCTTTGCAATGGCTCTTTTCCTGCCCAGAATGTTCTTTCCACAGAGCTCGCTCCCTCAGGTCTCTCCTCAAGTATCACTCCTTCAGAGAGACTCTACTACCCACGTGGCAAATTTCTTTTAAGGTCCTAGCTAGCAAAAAACTTCTCTTGCCTCAAATTGCTAACCTTACCTATATTACATTATAACAACCCAACAGGGTTTGGTTTCCTTCTTCCCTCCTGCTTCAAAGCAAAAAACCCCTGCTTAAATTTTGCAACCAACTGCATCATGTATCCTTAGCTTGGGCTCTCTTTATTATTTTAAATTATTTAATTCTTGCTCTTTTGACTTTTCTTTTCGGCTTTGTAGTCTTTCACTTCACACAAAGGGCCTTGTAAGTCAGTTAAATACATAAACAAGACTTTACTCCATAGCAATCAGTGTCTTACATAAAGCAACTGCAAATAGTTTTGATAAATAAATGAATGAATAATGAACAGTAACAGGACTTCTGAAAATATTCAAAGACATACGGGAAAAGGTTTTTGTTTCAGTAGTCTGCACTTAGCACAACATCTGGTATGTAAGAATGGCAAAAACCGAATTAATTAACAAACATCATCAAGCCTAGATTTCACTTTTTCTTCTAGTCACACATACTATTAAAAAAAAAAAATTCCTTCCGGGCCAACTATGAATGTCAACTACACCCCCCAGAATAGATAAAGTACTCCCAAGGAGCTAAAAGGATGCAGTAACGGTCTAGGAGTGGGAGGGGGCAAGAACACGGGTTTGGAGTAACTGGGCCACTGTGGAACCAAGGAGAGACGGAGGCTGTCAGTACTAGGGCCGATACATCATAAAAACAGCAACCCCGGTCCCAGGAAGGCAGAGCTGGGAAGAGTCGGGGTCCGTTGGGACCCGTCGTGGCCGCGTTCCCCCAAGAAAAGTGGAGGAAGCTGAGATTGGTTCTCTCACCTCTAACGCCGCCTGGGGGTCCTCCTCGATCAGAGCATCTGAGAAGCTCCGGAAAAACCTGCCAGGGAAAACAACGACATGCTCACTAACCAAGTGGGGGGTAGGTGCGAGGGGGAGATAAAAATAAATAGCAAGAATGAAAACACGCACTGCTGGGCTCTTGCAGGTTCTGCTGCAGCTGCCGCCATCCCTAAAAATCGCTGTTGCCGTTAGAGCAGCTTCCTCCGAGGTTATGAGCTACACCGCCGCCGCCCAACGGGGAAACTTCTGGAGAAGCACCAACCGAGCTTCCGTCCTAAGTAGCCAACGAGCAGCCACGCAGCGTGTCGCGGGGCGGGGGAGGGGAGACGAAAAGCGTGCGCAGGGCCGGCTGGGACCGTGGAGGACTGAGTCTCCCGGCCGGCCCCAGTCCCGTGACCGGCGCTCTCAGTCCCCGCCCCTCGCAGCCATGGTTACGGAGGCGTCGGCTATTCACGCTTGCCCCTGTCTTCCACTACGCCTCCGCACCCCAATAGAACCTTCAGCGGTAGTAGCTCCAAAGCACTTTTGTAGCATACTGTTATTCCATAGGAACATGGGGCGTTTGGGAGAGTTTGGACGTCTATTAATAACAAGGCACGTCGGGCTCCATTTTCATCACCGTTCACCACAGTTCTCATCATGGCTACCGGAGGCAGCCAAGCCTTTCGAGACCCGTGACGTCATTCGCCTATACGTGTTCTTTTCCGGAAGCATAGTTCCGGCTTGCGCGTAGATCCCGTGATCTATGCGCCGGGAATCCTAACGGACAAGGACTCGCCGGAAATGGTTCTGCCTTTGCAGATGCTAGAGTGGAAGAAGCCCTTTGGTTCCGGTGCGGTTGTACTAGTCCATTACCCACAACTCCGCAGCCCCACGCTTTTTTCGTATTTGGCTTCTCCGATTGAGAAGAAAACCTGTTACATCCGAAGGCACGGAAGGGAGGAAGGTGGCCCGAGGTTGTGTCAGTACTGTTTTACTTTTCCAACGTAGTCGGTCCTATTCTCCCTCACCGCCCTTTGACATATGAAGATCAGATAGAAGCTTCCAGCAAGTTCCATGGAGGAGGGAGTGGGAGTGAGTTTCTCAGTCAGTAGAGATTAACAAGTAAATGGACTTGAGTGTCTGCTGCATCCAAAATCTAAACTACCTGGGATTCAAAGTTGTTAATATGCCCTCCAGAAATTTAAACTAATTGTTTTGCATGCTGAAGTGAAAGGGGAATGACCCTATATAAGGAATAAGGACGGATTCCTCAAAGGTTTGATACCTGAGCCTCAGCTTCAAAAACTAAATTAGTGAATGAAGGAAATGAAAAACACAATTTGGATAGCCTAGGACGTGTATTAGGAAAACAATAATGTTAGTTCTAAAATTGGTGGAGCCAGAATTCAAGTTAGACGCTCACTGGAGAGGTAGGTGAAATGCCAGGTCATAAAGGGCTAGCCTGTGGTCTTCGGAGAAGCTTGGTTGTGATTCTCGTACCGGTGCTAGCCCATTACAGAATTTCTAATTTAAAAAGGCGGTAACAGTCAAATTTGCATTTTTGAAAGTATATTACTGTGTCGGTGCTATGGAACAATGATTAAAGGGAAAAGAGCAGTTGTTGGGAGACTGTGTTGGGAGAGTGTTACAAGCCAAAGTGACTCTTAAGTAGGTCAGTGATTGTAGGGATGGACAGAAAGTTAACAGAAATATGTGAGGTAAAACTCGCTGGGTTTGCTGATCTTTCATGTTCAGTGGTTTTTGTGTCCTGTTAATAAGGCTTCATCAGCTCCAAGGCCATGAAGATATTCTTTGTGTTTTCTTCTAGATGCTTTATTAATTTAACTTTGACATCTAGGTCTAGGATTTATCTCAATTTTTTGTGAAAGGGATCAAGGTTCATTTCCTCCCATATGGATATCCAGTTGACCCAGCCCTATTTATTAAAAAGACTATCGTTTGTCATTTCCCCCGTCATATTTTTCCGGCACCTTTGTTGTAAAGTGGATGACCATATATAGGTGGGCCTGTTTCCAGGTTCTCATTCCATTGGTCTGTTTGTCTAACCTTGTACTAGTACCACACTGTCATAATTAATGTAGCTTTATAATAAGCCTTGAAGTCCTAGAACTGTTCAAGGTTGCCTTAGCTATTCTGAGTCCTTTGTAATTTCCATTATTTTAGGCATCTTATAAAATTTATTTCCATTAATTTATAAATTTTAGAATAAGCTTGTCAACTTACAAAAAAAAAGCTCTGCTGGGGCTCCTGGGTGGCTCAGTTGGTTAAG